GGGGGTGGGGTAGCTGCGGAGGGATTCTCTGGGGCGACGTGAACCCTCTCCCTTAGGCCGGCGAAGCTGCCGCTGGGGGGCCCAGCGTGAAGACGTGGCTCCCCGCGAGCCCTGCGGAAAAGAAGTGGACGAGTGCGCTTTCCTTGAATGGCCCAGGTGCCCACCGCGGTTTAGTGTGTGTGTGGGGCGGGGGGGCCGGGGAGGAGGAAAGGGGTGCCTCTTCTAGTGCATCCCACCCCACGAGGATATACACTTTGGGAGCGAAGCAAGGAGCCTCGGTCACTCCCACGCCGGCAAGCAGAAGGAGAGCAGCCGGCTTTATTTACAATCTACACAGGTCTGGACCCTATCCTGTGAAGTAGGGATTGCTCCCATTTTACAGATAACGAGCTCAAGGCTCAGGAAGGTTAAGCTTGCATAAGATCCCACAGCTGTTGAGAGGCAGGGGCAGAATTCTGGCTCCAAAACTTAAAAAAACCCCACATGTTGCCCTAGCTGGTTTGGCTCAGTGGATAGAACGTCAGCCTGCAGACTGAAGGGTCCCAGGTTCCATTCCGGTCAAGGGCACATGCCTGGGTTGCGGGCTCCATCCCCATTAGGGGACGTGCAGGAGGCAGCCAATCAATGATTCTTTCTCATCATTGATGTTTCTCTCTCTCTTTCCCTCTACCGTCCTCTCTGAAATCAATAAAGATATATTTTAAAAAAACCAAACCACATGTTTAGTCCTTGTTCATTTGCAAGTAAGGGCTGGAGGTTTTGTGGGTTCAAATCTGACCCAGAGGCCACTCCTCAGGCCCACCTAGTGCCGAAGTGAGCAGGGAAACCTCAGCCCTGAGAAGGACCCATGGAGGGGCTCTCCTTTATGTGGATGGAGGAGCTGAGGGCTCTGACAGCCACTCTGCAGTGCTGGGAATAACATAGATTGAAAGTTTGTTATATGCCAGTCAAACACAAGCCTAACTGCTTTACACAATGTATCTCATTTAATTCCAGCTGCCCTGTAAAGGAACTGTTACTGTCTCCATTTCACAGATGGAAAAAACTGACGCTCAGGGGTTGACCCTTGGTTGTGATCCTACAGAATCCACTTTCTTCACTTGGCTACAGGCACACCTGACTTTCCTGGTCTTCCTCACTTCACTGGCACTCCTGTCTCTTTGATGGGCTTCTCCTCCTCTTCCCCTTGTGGAAGGCCCCAGGCCAAGTCCATGATGCTCTTTTCTGTCTATACTCCTTAGGGCTGATTTATAATGTCTGTATGCTGATGACTACAAAGTTTCTGTCTCTAGCCAAGACCCCCACCCCCAGACTAATACTCAACTGCCTATCATACTGGCATCTCAATCTCAGCACATCTTGCCCCCAACAACTTACTGCCTACACTCCACTCCCACGCTTACCTACCTCAGAGAATGGTACCGTTGTTCACCCAGTTCCCCAAGCCCCAAACCTAAAAGGTGTCATCAGTGTGCCTCTCTTATTCTTACACTAGAGGCCAGGTGCACAGAATTGTGCACTGGTGGGGTTTCTCGGCCTGGCCTGCACCCTCTTGCAATCTGAGACCCCTTAGGTTGATGTCGGACTGCTGGTTTCGACCCGATCCCCACAGGCCAGGCCGAGGGACCCCACCAATGCATGAATCTGTGCACCGGGCCTCTAGTATGCATGTAAGATCTTTGGTTAATCTCTTCCCACCCTCCCCCATCCCTCTCTCCCTCTGAGATTCATCCATCAGTCTGTTCCATATTTCCATGCCTGTGCATTGAGCATCTGCCCCCTGGTGGTCAGTGCACATCATAGCTACTGGTTGAATGTTTGAAGCGGTCGTACGCCAATTACCATTTTTCTCTTTTATTAGTGTAGATGCCATTTCCAAGCCCTCGGCAAGTCTTGTCAGTGCCACCTCCAAGTCATAAGACTTTGTCACTTGCTAACTCTGTTTTAACCATTCCAAACCAAGCCACCACCATCATCTTGGCCTGGGTTATATAGCAGATGTTTCTCTCTCATCGATGTTTCTAACTCTCTATGCCCCTCCCCAGTCAGTTCTCCAAACAGTATCCAGGAAGATCTTTGTCAGTATAAATCACATCATGTCATTTTATTCAGAAGAAAGTTCTGGTTCTTATTTCTCTTCCCCACCTTTCTCACTTTAGCCATACTTGCCTAATTGCTATTCCGTGAACTTGCCCCATCTCTTCTTGCCTCAAGGCCTTTGGCTGTTCACTTAGCCTGAAGTACTCTTCCCCCATATGCCATTCAGATCACTCAAGAGGTCTTCTTAGACCACCTTGTGGAATAGTCTCCCCCCTCCGCCCCCCCAGATCCGCTTAAACAGCTTGATTTTCTTTTAGAGCAGATATCACTACCCAACATTAGACGTTTTTTATTGTTGCCCCTCTCCCTCAGAAGATCAGCTCCGTGGGTGCAGGAACTTTCTTGTTCACACTGTATCCTCAGTTCCTAGAACTGAACCAGGCACATAGTTGGCACAGAATGAATATTGGTAAAAATACCTGTTAAATGAATGTTTATGATTGTCTTGCTAATGGGGGGAGGGGAGAAGGGAAGAACTATTGTTATTTTAGAACACCAAAGTCCAGAGTTGTTCACCAGGAAGTTGGTGAGGATGAAGCTGACCCTAACAGCCTATGTATTAGAGGAAAATGCCTGGCCAATGAGTGAGGATGGGTCAGATTGGCCCCCATCAGAAAAATGAGGGGAGTGGAAAATGGAGATGTTTCTTCCATGCGTCTAGGTACTGGCCAGGAGATGGGTTTGAGAGGAGGTAAGACTTGTTTCTTTCTGTGGCCAGGAAGTGAGGAAAGGGACAGACACTTGCTCCATCCCTCAGGAACATGCAGAGTCCACTGAGGCATGAACACCAGCCTCACCACCTCTTGCCCAGAGGTACCTAGAATCAGTACATTCCTTATGTCAGAAAGCTCCAGAAGGTCAGAAACTGTCAGAACAACATTGTGCAGCTGTCCAACATGCACTAGATTTAAAGAGCCAGACAGACCCCAGGCAATCTTCTCCAGCTCTTCCCACTCTCACCTCTGTCAGGTGAAACAATCCATTCGGGGAGGTGCTTGGAGGAGGAAGTTGCTGTGCTGACTGGCCAAAAGTTGGGATCTGGATTTGGTAGTTTGCCCATTCCATGCTGATCTGCCCAGACTCACACAGCCCTCTGCTTCTCTCTGCAGACTGCCTTCAACTGGGTAGGGGCATTTCCTCTGTCCTTACACAGTACCCTTGTCTGCACCTGTCAGTTTACATTTCTGTTTTACCCTGGTAGGTCAGAAGGGCACAGAATAGTGCCTGGCACTTGGTAGACAATTATTTCAGTTGTCTATGGCTGAATAACACACAACCCCAAAACTCAATGTCTTAAGACTAACACTTTATCGCAATTGTTTCCTGGGCTGTTCTGCTCCACGTGGTGTCAGCTGGGGAGCTGGCACAGTTGGAAATTCCCAAGTGGCCTCACATGGTTGGCAGTTGGTGCTGGCTAGGGGCTGGGTCAGAAGGGGTCGTGGGTCAGGGGCCTTGATTCTTCTTCACCTGGACCTCTCCACAAAGACCCATCCACATGGTTGCTTGGGTTTTCTCACAAACTGGAGGGTGTATCCCAAGAAGGGGCATTTCAACAACAATGTAAAGTCCTTAAGGCCCGGCCCTAATCATCACTTCTGTGGGCATTTTAGTTACAGGGAAGTCCAGATTCAAGGGGAGTAGAAATGGACTCCACCTCTCCTTGGGAGAAGGGGTTGGCAGGCATCTTTTGTTATCCACAGTAGTAGGCCAGTGGTCACAAATTATCTATATTCCTTCCATGTGTAGCGTACATTCATCTCCTCCAAAGATTCCCCAAAGGAACATCCCATTAGGACTTCTGCCTCAGGCTCCAGGTCCAGAATCTATCTCAACATTTGAATCAGGCCTACGTGCTCGCTTTGGCAGCACATATGGTGAATCAGGACTAGGTGTGGTTCCTCAGGTTCCAGGGAACCATAAAACATAAAACAAATTACCTTCTTCCTCTTACTCTCTGAGCAATTCGATCCAAAAGCCAATAGGTAGGAGGAGTCCAAACAGCATTGACAGTGTGAAAATCCCAACCCAATGAAGAGGAAGGGATAGAGTGAGAGGTGGGGAGGGGAGGGTGGCAATCTAGCACAGGGCAAGACCTTTGGAACTTAGAACATTTTGCCTGGAATTCTCCAGAACAGCGGTTGCCAACCTTTTGGACCTCACAGACCACCAGTGATCCACGGAACACCGGTTAGCAACCCGCTGCTCCAGAGCAAGACCACAAGTTCATTGGATACATTTTGTATCATCCTTGCTAACTGCGTGTTGCCTGTATGTATTTAGTTCTCTGACAATTTTCCAGTAACAATTTCCTTACTGCACTTGCAATCTCCTTGCTACTATTCAGGACTCTGCAAGGTTTCTGCTTCCAAAGTCAGTGCTGTGTTTTAGGTTTTTGGAAGCACCCCACTTCCAGGTATCAATTTCTGTTTCAATCGCCCATTGCGGGGCTTGGCAAATAGGTTCCATAGGTCAAATCCAGCCCACCACCTGTTTTTGTAAAGAAATTTTATTAGAACTCAGCAATGCATATAGGTTTACCTATTGCCAGTTTGTTTTCATGCTACAATGGCAGTGTTGAGTAGCGCAACAGACCATCTTGCCTGTAAAACCTAAAATATTTACTATGTCAACATAAGAAATATCCAAACTGTGGCTCAGTGGTTGAGGGTCAACGTATGAACCAGGAGGTCACAGTTCGATTCCCGGTCAGAGCACATGCCCAGTTGCAGGCTCTATCCCCAGTGTGGGGCATGCAGGAGACAGCCAATCAATGATTCTCTCTTATCATTGATGTTTCTGTCTCTTTCCCCCTCTCCCTTCCTCTCTGAAATCAATAAAAATATTTTTAATTAAAAAAAAGTGTCCAAACTTGTAGAGAATTTTTATGAGAATTTGAGTCAAACTGAAAAACATGAACAGTTTTGCAGCCTCGTGTTTTTTAAAATTAATTAATTGATTGATTGAGTTGAAAGCAAGCAAGCGAGCAAGAGAAACATCGACTTGCTGTTGCACCCATCCATGCATTCATTGGTTGATTCCTGCACATGCCCTGACTGGAGATGGAAACTGAAACTCTGGCGCATCTGGATGACATGCCAACCAACTGAGCTACCCAGCCAGGGCATTTTTGCAACTTTTTTTATGCATTTGAAATTGAGAGAGTACGAAAGACTACATAAAGTTAGAAAAAAGTGGGGATGAGGGAGGATTGGATTAGAGGATGTTAAGATTATGTGCTTTCTTTTCATATATATATATATATATATATTACGGAGAGGGAGAGAGAGAGAGAAACATCAAAAATGAGAGAGAATCATTGATCGGCTGCCTCCTGCACGCCCCACACTGGGGATGGAGCCCGCAACCAGGGCATGTACCCCAACCGGAAATTGAACTGTGACCTCCTGACTCATAGGTCGACGCTCAACCACTGAGCAATGTTGGCTGGGCAAGATTATGTGCTTTCTTGACAGTGGTTATGGCTTATTTCAAAATTATTTTAACCTAGATGCATAGAAACAATGGACGGGTCTTGCTGAAGGCAAAGATAAACCTTTTACTAAAAAGGATCACCGGTTAGTGATCCTTTTACTAAAAAGTTATGTGTCTGGGGCATGACTACCCACCATGACCTGCCCAGTTAGGAATTTATGATCAGATCACCCTAATTTCCATAGAACCCCTTTTTTCATCCACAACTATGTAATCTTTTACAGAAAAAGTTTGCCAACCCTTGCTATTAAAAAAAAAAAGCTACCCAAAAATTAGTTTCTTAAATTATTTCTTAAGACAAATTATTTCCTAAAATTCTGTGTATTAACCAGGTGTTTTTCTGCTTCATGTAGTGTTGGCCTGAGTGATAGAATGACTGGAAAGTACAAATGTTCTCACTCAGATGGCCAAAAGTAGTTATTAGTTGCTGGCTGGCTGCTTAGCTAGAACTGTTAGCCAAAGGTCTCAGTTCTCCTCAGGTCTCTCCATGTGGCTGCTTGGGCTTCCTTACAGGATGGCAGCTGAACTATAAGAAGGGGTATTGAAAATGCATAGGAGGGAGTGGAAGATCTCTTAAAGTCAGGTCTTGGACAAATTTGGACAGAACAAGTCACAGGGCCA